CAGCAGCAGCCACCGCCGGCACCGATCGGGTGACCGCCGAAGCCGTTCGACGAGGGGCGGCGACGTCGAGGACGGCGGTGAGACAAACGGCGGGGGTGGCGAAAGCCGAAGCAGGCACCGGCACCGTAGCCACAGTGGGCATCGCCAACACCGCCAGCACAGGCGCAATGAGAACGCTGCGAGCAACAACAACAGCACCCCTAGCGGGAACAACGTTGAACGACCCGATCGCGTCAACAACGCGGACCTTGACAGAATGTTAGAGGAGCTGTAGTTTAGCGCGGAACAGTAGAGGAGGAATAGAATAAAGTAAGAGAGATAGTGTGTATGACACATGTAGTATTTCCTTCGGGTACGGCTTGTAACATTGCGATAGGCTCCACCCCGGTGCTCCGCCACAGAAGTAGGAGGATTCGTTGCGGCAAGATGAGGAAAGAAGAGATGGAGGAGGTCGCGCTGTTTTCATGCGTGGTGGGCGGAGGTGCGCTGCTGCATTTGCTGTATATAGAGGGGGAAAGGAGCAGTGTGTAAAACGTCCGTCTTAACTCATATATATACAAATATAGACAGAACGGCAATATGGGTGTGTCTGTGTGGACGAGAAGCAGACGGAAAGGAATCAAAATGACTCGGATTCGTGGAGGCACACAGCAACGCGTGCGAAACGCCCATATGAGAGCAGCGAGTGGCGCAGTCACGATAGTTCACACGTTGCTGAAGGATGAAACACAAGCAAACCGTAATAAGAAGCGTGACAAACAGCAGAAGAAGCAGCAGCAGTGATAATGTGGGATAAATCAAGGCGTGGACGAGGAGGGATGAACGGGACCACGCAAAACGACGGCTGATGAACTGGCACGCTGAGGCATCACACGGAAGACGGAGTCTTCGAGCACCCGCTTCGTTCCAGCAGCGCCGTCCACGTTGCTGTTTTTCCTCCTTGTGTCTCTTTTGGTGCCTTTTCCCTCCCACACCCCCGTTCCAATCCTTCGTGGTTGGGGAACTATTGTTTTCCTTTTCACTGTCTTTGCTTTGTTTGGCGCAGGCCATCTCAACTTGCGCCTGGGACTTCTGCTCTCGCGTGGAATAGCGGCCCCTGCTCCCCGCCGCGCCGTTGCACATGCCAACACACGCACACACATGCCTTATAGAAAAGCAGCGGTAGCGTCGTGGAGAGTGCGTGCGCGACCATGTACCAACGTGACTGGCAGAGGCACTAGCGGAAGGCGCAGTGGCGGATGATCATATATATATATATATATATATACATAGACGACCGGGGCGTCGGGATACATGGGAACAAGAAGAAAAACGAGCCAATGGCGAAGGACATGAAGTGGTATTTCTTTTTCTTTTCACCATTGCCCTTCGCCCTGGTCCCTTTTTTTTTTCTTGGTGGGCGTGTGTACAGGTGCGTATCTCTCTCAGTCCGTGTGTGTCTGCTTGTGCTGCGAGTCCCCATCCCTCGTTTTTTGTGCCGCCGACGCTCACACACACACACACGGAGAGGGAGAGAGAGAGAGACGCATGCATGTTGCCCCATTCCAAAGAACCACGCCGTTCCTCTCCAAATTACTCTTTCCAGTGCTCCTCTATGCTGCTCTGTGCGCGTCACTCGCTTCCTTGGGGCCGCTGTCGTTGTGGGTGTTGGCGCACCACACACCGCGTGTTGGTGCCACACGTTGGGCGGCCACCTTCTCTCCTTTCTGTGTGTAGCCACTCGTGTGGGGTTGTGGAAGGGCGGAAGCAGCAAGCACAAAAAGAAAAGGTGTGGGAAAAGGGATAGCGCCGTCTACGATAGGAAGATGCCGCGTTTATATAATGGGCCAACAGGCGATGTCAATACGGCGTTTACCCACAAAGTGCAAGAGTTGCTGTCGACGTCGGCTTCTTCCTCCTCCTCTGCTGCTGCTGCTGCTATCACACCAGCGGTACGGGCCTCACCACTGTACAGCGCCATTCTTCGCTACGCAGAAACAGCGGACCAACAGCAGCAGCAAGGGAAGCCCCCGGCACAGGACGGGGGTAAACAGAGCGGCAACAACACCGCAGAGGGCCCGAGATTAGCCGCACCATCGCTGAGCTCTGTGCCCGTCGTGCCGTCGGCGCTAGCCCGCCGTGGCGTCATAATGCGGGACCCGCTTCTGCAGCGCAAGTTGCGTAAGCAACAGCAACAACAAAAGTCATCATCGTCATTAGCACCGCTCTCCGGGGGGGAGGGTGACACCGGTGGCGGGGCGCCAGCGAATGGGGCGCAGCAGCAGCAGCAGGTGTCACACTGGAGTGGACGCCCGCTGAATGAAATGACGGCGGCTGGATGGGACGTCTTTCGCGCGCAGGTGGGTATCCAATTGGAGGTGGTGGCCCGCCGCGCCACCGGTCAGCAGCAGCAGCAGTATGCGGCAAAATACAGCGGCGACGTACTCCGCCCGATACGGTGCTGGGAGGAGGCGCAGCTGCCCCTCGCGCTCGGCACCATTGTGGCGAGACGATACGTGCTGCCGTCGCCGATTCAGGCGCAGTGTGTGCCGCTCGCCATGGCAGCTGTTGCGTCGCCAAGTGGGAAGGTCGACGTGCTTGGCGTCGCAGAGACGGGCAGCGGTAAGACGGCAGCGTATCTGATCCCGCTCCTCGCCGATGTACTGCGCCGCACACCACGGCTACTGGGCAACGACGAACTCATCGCCCACGGGCCCCTCGCGCTCGTGATGGTGCCAACGCGCGAGCTCGCCGAGCAAGTGACGTGTGAGGCGCTGCATTTCGTGCGGGGCGCCCCCGCCAGCGAGCTGCAGCAGCTGGTGCAGGAGGAGTATCGACAGGAGGTGGGCGACGAGAGCAGCAGCAACGCGGCATCGCAGCACAACACGCTGGACGAGATACGTGTGGTGAAGGTGGTGGGTGGCGAGCGGGCGGACGACCAGTACGATGCGCTCGCGCAGGGCGCGCACATCGTTATCGGCACACTTGGGCAGCTCGAGTCGCTGCTGCAGCAACGCCTGCTCGCGCTCAGCAACACGCGGATGATCGTCATGGACGAGGCGGACCGCATGATTGAGGAGCACCAGCAGGACAGCCTCATCGCCGTGCTGGAGCGGTGCCCGCTGCCGCGGCAGACAATCATGTTCACCGCCACACTGAGCGCCGCGTGTGAGGAGGTCGCGCTCAAGTATTTCTCGCCTGACGGCTTCGTCGTGGTGCGTGTGCCGCATCGCTGCTCCACCATCATGCAGGTGTTTGAGCTGGTGCCAAGCGATCCTTGCGTGGCATCGGCAGCAGCAGCAGCAGCAGCAGCGGATGGGAAAGAACATAAACTTTCACAACAGCAGCTGGAGCGCCAGCGCAACCCGCTCCTGCATCCCATCAAGTTTGCGCGGCTCGTGTCATACTTGGCGTACGCCGCTGCCCCCGTTGTTGTGTTCGCGAACGAGAAGCGCACGTGCGATGCGCTGCACGACGAACTGCGCGCAGAGGCGGCGCACCTTGCCGCGCTGTCGGAGTCCTTCGCGCTGGAGGCCCTCGTCGGCGAGGTGCCGCCCGCCCTGCAGGTGAGCCTGCACGATGCACAGAAGCGGCGTCGGCCCGCGCTAAACCTCAGCAATATGCGCTCGATCGCGCTGGTGCACTCGGAACAGTCGCAGGCGGAGCGGCGGCGGCTGGTGGAACTCTTCCGCCGCGGCGAGCGACGCGTGCTCGTCACCACAGATCTGCTCGCACGGGGCCTCGAC